CCAATGGAGAAAGGTACATTCCAGAAATAATTTGTGCCCTCAAATTTTCATGAGAGCCCACCCCAAATCTTCCCATCATTCCTTAAGACTCCTTGTACGGCAGTGATGTTCCCAGCTGCTGAATCAATGGCCAACTTCTGTTTTTTTTAAGCAAGGTAACTGGTATTTTATTAACAATTAAAGTAGTCCTTAGCACAACCAGGGAGAAAGAAAGTTATTTTTTGATAAGGTAAATTGTATTAATCAAAAGGGAAAAAAAACTTCCGTATACAAGAAGTATACCAAAAAGTAGAGAATTTACATCAGAACATGATTCTCTACAAAAGACGCCCAATCTTCTACACAAGTAGGGGCTATATGGGTGCACCAAAAAGCGATCAAGGATAAAAGACTATTCTTAAGATGTAAAAAAGGAAACTCAATCCCCTCAAAAACTCTCCTATTTCTCTCTCCTCCACATAAGAGCTAACGGGGCGAACTTCCACGCCTTTTGCTTGCTTCTTCTACGGAAACCGGCCTAGCTATAAAGCATTTCCTTTACAGTGTTTGGCATCACCCATTGAACACCAAAAAGATTCAGGATTGCCCTCCNAAGAGCCCAACTTACATCTGAGAACATGAGACAAAGCATCAATGTTAGTGACCTCACCCATCGGGAAAATCTCACACTTGCCGAGGTTGATTTTGAGTCCTGATACTATCTGGAACCACTGTAGGACCTGCTTCAGGCACGTCAACTGGTCCATATCGGCATCACAGAAAACCAGGGTGTCATCCGCAAAAAGCAAATGAGAGACTTCGGGCACTGAGCACCCCGATCGTAGCTGAGAATCCTCTTATGAAGCCTCCACCCGCCGCACGATCCATCATTTTACTCAGAGCATCCATCACTAGAATGAATAGCATGGGGGATAGGGGGTCACCTTGCCCGATACCCCTGGAGCTGCCAAAGAAACCACACGGGCTACTATTAACCAGGACAGAGAATCTGACTGAGGAAATACAGAACTTGATCCATCCCCTCCATCATTCCCCAAACCCCATTCGCATCATAATGAAATCCAGGAACTCCCAATTGACATGGTCGAAAGCCTTCTCAAGGTCCAACTTACACAGTAAGCCGGGTTCTCTATTTTTCCTTCTGGAGTCTACAAGTTCATTTGCCATCAAAGCAGTATCCAGGATCTGCCTACCTTCCACAAACGCATTTTGGAAGGACGAAACAGACACGTCAAGAACCTTCATGAGTCTGTTGGAGAGCACTTTAGAAATAATCTTGTAAATGCACCCCACGAGACTGATAGGCCTGTAGTCTCTGATACAAGATGCGCCTTCTTTCTTAGGCACAATAGTAATAAAAGAAGCATTGATACTTCTCTCGAAAACACCATTCACGTGGAAGTATTCAATGGCTTCCATCAACTCCTCGTTAATGGTGTCCCAACAGAGCTGGAAGAAGGCCAAGGAGAAACCATCAGGCCCGGGGGCCTTATCACCAGCACAACTCGACATAGCCTCGTGCACCTCCTCCTCCTCGAAAGCCCTTTCTAGCCACTCACTGTCTCCCTCCCCTATGTGGTTGAACTCTATCCCCCAAAGTAGGCCTCCAACTAACTTCCTCTTTGTATAAATTCTCAAAAAACCCCACTATCGCCCATTTTACCTCTTCTTCTCCCTCAATCCTCACCCCGTCCACAATTAAGGACTCTATGAAGTTTCTCCTTCAATTTGTGACCGCAACCCTGTGGAAAAACTTGGTATTCGAATCCCCCTCCTTTAACCAAAGCGCCCTCGATTTTTGCCGCCAGCTAGTCTCCTGAGCTATTGCTAACTCGATTATTTCCCTCTTAACCTCCCCAATCTCGCTTTCTCAGATTCATCTAGCTCCCTCGCCCCTTCCCCTCTCTCTAATTCCCCTAATTCATACATAAGCTCCCTCATTTTAACCTCTACCCTCCCAAAAACCTCCTTATTCCACCTAATAATATCTCCCTTGAGCAATTTGAGTTTCTTCGAAAGACAGAATGAAGGTGACCCTGATACCCCGTAGCTTGTCCACCATTCTTTCACTTTGTCACCAAATCCTGGCATTTTCAACCACATGTTCTCGAATCGGAAGGGAGCACGCACCCCCCTCCCTCTGTATCCATCTAGCAAGATAGGCAAATGATCTGAAGTCAGCCTAGGTAAAGGAATCTGCAGCATATTCGGCACCAACTCATCCCAGGAGGGCGATATCAGAAATCTATCAAGTCTAGACCTTGAGTTGGAATCCTCCGCCCTGGCCCAAGTAAACCTTTCCCCTGATAGAGGAAGATCAATGAGAAAGTGATCATTGAAGAAGTCAGAAAACTCCTCCATGGCCCTCGAAATCAGACTACACCCTAATCTCTCCTCCGGGAATCTAATAGTGTTAAAGTCTCCCCCTAGAACCCATGGAATGTCCCATTTCCCCATAATATTGGCCAGTTCCTCCCGGAAAAACACCTTGGACCCTTCCCCTACCGGTCCGTACACTCCCCAAATCCCCACTCCACCCTACTCACTCTATCTTTGACGAGAGCTGCTAAAGAAAAAACTCCCTTTTTAATCTCCTTTACCTCCAAGCTTCTATCATCCCACATAAGAAGAATGCCCCCGGCACTTCCCGCTGCTGGGACCCAGTCATATTTCACCCAACATCCTCCCAGACACTTCTCACGATCGCAGGACCCCAAAAGAAAGTTACAAAGAAAGTTACAGGACCCCAAAAGAAAAAAGAAACAAAAAGATAGTCATGTGCTAGTTACAAAGATCCCAAGATGTCAACTACAGAATCTACATATTCTACAAGAGCTTCTTTGCACCAAAAATGAAACAGAAATATA